CAATGTTTGTATATATGTTTTATACCATGGTTTTAGCCCCAATTAGAAGCTTTTCCTTGTTTTTTTCTTTGCAATTCAGTCGCTTGTCCTGATCTAGGCGCAGTCAAGGCACCCACTTCCACCAAGTGATAGGAATCTGCGACGCGGCCGCGGCCAGTGATCCCCAGTGTTTTTCGATGGGCTCGATTTTTTTCATTAAAAAAACAATCTGTTTTACTGCAGGTTCCGAACATCTTCAACCATCTTCGAAGATTTGTTTTGGGAAGCTTCCCGAAAATGATGGCCCCATGTGAGAAAACACAATCTTTACATTGGAACCACTTCTGATCATGAATGTTGGATATATTTGATTTCTCTCCCCATCTTGATTCTACAAAAGGATCATTTACAATAATGCACCAACCAGAAACATTCAGACACAATGTTGGGATATCCCAATCCTAACCATCTCTTATAGAGTGACGCCACAGTGAGGCCAATATATCCGTACATATATTATAATCAATATATACTATGTTTGTTCGCAAACATGATATCTCCCATTATATATCACACATATGTAAATGTAAATATATATATATATCCTCATTCTGCTAGGTTGCATCGCATTATTTACCCAGTACCTCTAGATTCTACATTCACTGATGTCTGTAAGTGATGAGAGGCCACGGCAATTGCAGGGCTAAATTGCAGGGCTTCCGAATCCCGCCAAAATCTGTAGGAACGTCAGGATTGATAACCCAGTGCTATTCGGAGCTGTTAGATCCATATTTTCCTTGGTTATACCTCTCTGTGCATACAATTGTTTTGTTTGACAAAAAACACTGCAAACCAAATCACAAACGACGCCTCTGCAACCTCAACGCAGAAGTCCCACAAGGCAAAATCATTTTTTGGCTTAAACCTTACAAATGATGCATGCAATATATTAATATATATATATATATACATAACTAATATTTATTCAAAAATGCATATCTCATATTTATATACATAGTCTATATATGTTGATAAATTATTGGTGCATAAATGTAGCTAGATAAGTGGATCAATCGATAGATGTGTGCATGTGTGTTGGTAAACGCTCAAATGATTTCACCTTTTTGATCATCCCCCAGATCAACTTCCTAGCCGGTAAGATTCGTACGTGTGGCCCCCACGTAATTTCCAGCAATCCAAACCTGTAGTGGCAAACCCCCACCCCATTCATGTGTGGAAAAAACATGATCCTCAACCAAGGAACATGTTTATTTTCGAGTTTTTTGATTACCAAAAGAAAAAATATATTTATATATTGATTCTTTTTGTGCATTCTGCAAGACAATACTTAGATGAAGCCTCCCCCATCCGCCCAAGCCGAAAACGCCTGACGCGTTGCTTCCCGCGCGACTCCGTCGTTGGACAGGTCCCCGATGTGGCGAGGCACTCGTGCCTATAACAAACATATCAGTAAAGTCTATAACAAAAGTGATTGTCAACCCCAATGTTGGTCTACAACAACCATAAGTAGCTTGGTATATGGCCAAGTTGGTTTAGAACAAACGTAATTGCTGTAGGGTTTGTCACACATACATATTTACAATACCTATAATATAGGTTAGCAGAGTTTATACACCACACCAGCTTATAACTATCGGGGCACCACCTTGCGGTTGATGATCATGATTTGCTAATATGTCTTCATTCTACCAAAATTAAACAATCCAGGGGGTTATGAAATGGGGGTTGGCATGGATAAGAATAATTGAAGATGGGGATTTGGGGTGCTGCCAGTTTGAATAGCTAGAGATTGGGACCAATTCGTGTGATGCGGGAACAGGAATCAAATGAGATGTACATGCATGTGCATGTATATATGAATAATATTGCGTTGACTGAATGTATATATGGGGAAACAGTGTACCCTGAATAAGAAGGATTTGACTATTGGTCAGCAAATGTGATGGGAAATTTTATCGTTACTTAGCTGCTACTGGCTTGGCTGACTTCAGTCAGCCCAGCCAGCAGATTTCAAAGAACCATATTGCCGTGTGGTTTGTGTCCAATAAACAGTGGAAATTAATCAATGAAGCGGGATGATACACGATGATACCAGCACATGCAAAATCTACAGTCGCAATCAGAAAGTATAAGGACATCGCCAAGAACAATTCTGATACAACCAAGCACCCCTACAAAACTATGCTTTGAGAGTTCACCGTGATGATAGGCACGCTTGATTTTGTGAATATTGAGAGCCCCAAACGCAAGCATGGTTCAATTCCTGAACCCACGCAATAGCCCGGGGCTTCCAAACTCAAGGTATATCAAGATCATTTATACAGATGACTCCTGACTCCACATTGCAAAACCTTTGTGCTTGATCGTGTTTGAAGAGTTGGCTTCTAGCAGTCTGATTTGTATCCGCCTCGGAGTGACACTCCTGGTCACTCTAAATCTCCAAACATGCATAGATCGTGGGTTTTCAAGCTTCAACATGTGATGATAGAGTGGCTTTGGTAGTTGCACACGATCCCGAGCAAACACTCTTAGGCTCAGAACAAACAATCCACATCAATCCACAGTCAATTTAAATTTCCCCACATTGACGTGTGGGGTTTTTGTTTTTAGTTCTGTATCCGCTCCTTCCTCCCGCTCTCCTCCCTCATCACTCACCCACTCACTCACCCACTCACTCACTCACTCACTCACTCTCACTCACTCACTCACCCACCCACACTCACTCATTCACTCACTCACTCACTCACTCAACCACCCAACCCACCCACCCACCCACACTCACTCAACTCACTCACCCACCACCCACCCACCCACACTCACTCACTCACTCACTCACTCACTCACACACACACACTCACTCACTCATTCACTCACTCACTCTCCCTCAATCACTCACTCACTCACCCACTCACTCACTCACTCACTCAGTCACTCAGTCACTCACATTCTCATTCACTCACCTGTGCATGCACATACATACACACAAACTCACACACCTTCACCCCTCCACCACTCTTATACTTCCTCTTCCCTTCTTGCTTTTCTTTGCTCAGTCTAAGTCTAGAGAAGTTGGTAACATGTGGGGTTATCAGGTCCCATAATCTAAACAAGTGTTTTTTTAGCACCAGCCGGATGTCCCAGTTATGATTATGTGACTGTCCCCAACCCAGACGAACCCCGACCTGGTGAATCCATGGCGTGCCGTGCCGAGATTTCAGGTCGCGTGTCAACTTCAAGGCATTCTGAGATGCTCCATTGTCTGCACAAGAAAGCACATGAATATGACTTGTGTATGACTTCTGAGTATATATAACAGTAAAACAAATACATATTATGTAGATATACCTTCTACATCCTTCTAGATGTATATAAGTATATGTATATATGTACGTATATGATGCGACCCTGTTTTGCCATCTCTGTGTAGTTGTTTTCTGTCCCCACAGAGTTGAAACTCTGGTTGCGTTCTCCCAAGCAGGCGGCGGGCTTTGGGCCGTACGCAGCATGCAGAAGACACGCTTTGAATGGGCGACCTCACATGACATGAATATGAATGATGATTTATTGGATTTTGTGGTCTGCTGTGTCCCAAACTACTTCTCATCTCCAAACAAATGGTGGATTCGGTATGTGAATCAATGCCATCTGACTTCAACAGGCAATTAAAATCCCCTCATCTAAAGCAGGTCAGCTGACACCTGGCTTTGAAAAAAGATCCTCCTTGGACATTTTGGGTAGGGCTGGATGGCCCAAAACATAGTCGGCATAGCTATGGAATAGCTCCAACTCCATGATAATCGAAAGGCAGGTGGATGGGGCCAATCCCAGTTGATGGATTTTGCGTGTTTCTTTGTGGGCTACCGGGTGGTCTCACGTCACGGTCCGGCAAGCGAAGATGGTTTTCCACCTGTCTTGCAGCGCATTTGGGCACTCTCACGCGGGCAGCGTGTGACGAGGAACCGCTGAAGGTGCATCAGCGAATTATTCAGCATATAGCAAGCTGCACTTTGACTCTGAAACATGGTGCCTGCGCTGATAACGGACCCGGTGTTTTTAATGATTTTGATTTCAACCATTCTTCATTGATTTGTTTAAAAATGTGGTGCCGTGAAGATTTTGTTGTTTTGCCTTTAATTAGAAATGGTGTTTTCGTCCCACATTACGCTAGGAAATTATTCATTGATCATATCATTGAATTCTATTGGGCCAAATAATTTGCAAATGTGGGTTTGGAAAACGGAATGCAAGACGGCGTTTCGTCCTCTTCTTTTTCTCTCTTCATGGGTTCTGCGTCTGCGTTTGTTAACCTTAGCTGCCAGTTTGGCGAGACTTCCTTTCAAGTCTGCCTTGTGGCTCCAACGATAGGCGAAGGACCACACATACTGTTGGATTCTTTGAGAATCCTTTTTAGATCTTTTTGGTAACCTTGTCTTTGCTATGGACGGAGACGGGCACGAAGCGCTTCAGCTGCATCGTGATGAACCATTACAAAAGAAAATATGAGATAAGTGATGCACGACCAAGACATGATAACAGCCTCTACTCTTGGGAATCCATGGTGTTACCGGTAGAAATTTCATGGGTCCGATCGGGTAAGCAAATTGATGTGAAACTTTCAACTCTCAAATGTCAACATTACACGCCTTACTTTACTCACTTGAAAATAAAAAGACAGGAGACATGTTACAGCGTAGCATCAAAAGCGCGTGACAAGTGACCAGAGACATGTTACAGCGCAGCATCAAAAGCGTGTGGCAAGTGACCAGAGACATGTTGCAGCATGTGGCAAGTGACCAGAGATATGTTACAGCGAAGCATCAAAAACGTGTGACAAGTGACCAGAGACATGTTACAGCGTAGCATCAAAAGCCTGTGGCAAGTAACATATTACAGCGTACCCCTTGCCCCCCCCAACCCCCTCCCCCACCCCACCCGGTTCCCCAAGAAAATCACAATATCCTTCGCACACAACTTCTAGCTGACGTGCACAACTTCTAACT